CGTAAAATTAATGCCTTCAAAGTATTAAATAATATAAACCTTGAAGATGAATTTCCATCAGACTCTATAGACTTGCTCTATATCTAGGGTTTTCAAACATTTTGATTTGCGGACTACTTTATATTTCAGGCTTTACCTTAGGGACCCCCTTATAAACGCTTACGAAATTTATACATAAATATTTGCTGAATATAACATAATTTTGCATTAATGCAATACAAGCTGGTTTAAAGCTTACTTTAGACATAAGTATTCAAATAAATTAATGCTGCATGTTTCTGCAAAATGTAACAAAATTAAATTTTGTTATATTAAAATATTAATTTTACATGTAAATGAAAACAGTAATAGTATTTAACAAATAGTTTTATTGTCAATTACACACACAGGATTTTTAATACACACTTAGTGAGAAGGATGTGCTTTCTTGGCTTTGCACAAACTGTCAATTCTTGGCGATATTACTGATAAATATACACGTAAGTCACTTTCATCACACATGACGCTTAACAGCCAATGAGAAAGCCGAAAATCGCAAAATAGATCCAAAATTCAAATCCTTTGGTTCCTTCTCTGCATGAATAGAATCCATTATCTTTATCAATTTAAGATACAAATTATATTAGTATATCAAATCTATGAAATAGTTTATTGAATCAATTTATTTCATGATCGGCCTATAGGTTACTTATAAGCGCTTATAAGTTGCACATCACCCATAAAAAAGGTCTTTGCTGTCCACGGACCCCCTATCTTGTCCTTGTGGACCCCCTTTGGTCCGCGGACCACAGTTTGAAAACCCCTGCTCTATATAATCCCAAACAAATAATTACCAAATAACGATGCCATATAACTTGAACACTTTAAACGGCAGTGGCAACCATAAAACCATATATAAATTGAGGAGATAGTGATAATAATAATAATAATAATAATAATAATAATAATAATAATAATAATAATCAAGTCGATAAGAAAAACGTTTTAAGTTCTATCACCAAAATAAAATATTCCAAACAGACCTTAAGAGATTTTGCAGGAAAATTGAAAAAAATAGCTATATATCTATTGAGAAAGTGCGAAAATTCTGGAGCAGCCCAAAGGAATATAACCCTTAAGCAGAATGTATCCAACGTGAAGAAGGACGAATGCTGGATATACCTCTACAAGAGTGGGAAAATATAACCAGGAATAATGTTAGGCATGCTCTAACGAAATCCCAGAAATGGAAATCCCATGAAAGGACAAGGTGCCCTATTTTGCCTCTATTATCTGTCATCAATTAAAAAGCCCTTGCACAAACCCTATCAATGCTTATATCTATGGGAAATATGCGTGTAATAATAATAATAATAATAATAATAATAATAATATAAGTATGATGTTAATTTTCCCACTTTTCTCTAAAATTGCTTGAAATAAAATTCAATCAATGCAATAAAGAGCGATAACAGTGGAAAAGGAAAATTAAATTTTCTGAAATTATTTTATAAGAAAAAAATTTCATAAATTTCAATCAATAGTAAAGTGTAACAGATAAATCATTCCAAATATTTCCTGCTTGGACACCACTAATTCCACAATTCACCCTAGAACAATATTATCGCCTATATATGAATTCACAGAGTACACGGTCCTCTGTAATTTAAGAATCAAAGATCGACTTGTATTCATTTGAATATAGTGTCATACCAGTTTCGTCACTAAACCCCTGCTCCCTTTTTCCCAACAGCTGTCTCTCTAATGTTTCTTATGATGAGACCATATAGCGTAAGGATTTTACTCTTTATTAAGGGGACTATTGGACGCAAAGCGAAATTGGGCTCAGAATGTTTAGTATCTCTATACAATCTGTCGGTCATGAATCATGAAAGGTATGATATGATTCTGGAATATTCCCACATTCTGAGGAAATGCCATAGCCAATTTTAACAAAGCAGTACAGAGAGAATATATGTGTTGTAGATATTATTTTTTGATTTTGTAGAGAATACGTGAGGATGTTATGGGGGTCTGCCCATCTAAAACGAATTTTATTTTGAACACGAACTGAAATTTCATTAGAAGAATAAAGTCTGTTGCCAAGTATAGAATTTCACTTGCTGTATCGGTTTGCAATAGACTCTTATGTTGAAAGGGGTAAAATCTTTATTGGTAGCCATGCACTTGTTTTGTATGTATTCAAACTCATTCCCATTACATTGTAGGCAAATATATTGATAAATGTTTGCACTCCTTGCCTCGAGATATTAAAAGCCACCATATCATCAGCATTAGATTTGAGAAGCGGTGACCAATGGAAAACATTGTTTTACCAGTGGATTCCATTTTGTGTATAATTAAAACGATTGCAATGAAGAAGAGAAGTATAGATAGATTATTCACTTGTTTTAAAATATTTATATAAAGGTGAAATACTGATGTCGGTTTTGACGTATGCCTTACAGCAGTGGTTGCCAAACGGCACGGCGCGCCTCCTATGTAAGACGGAAGTAGATACCAAGTAAGGCGGAATGATTGAAATATAATCCAAGATTTAGAAACAGTTTTAAAAAATTCATAAGCCAAAAAATAATATGATTTCAAAATATAGAATATTATTATGCATTACATATAATTGCATCCATTAGTCCCAGTATAAATGGTTATAAATAATTATTGACCGATTTCATTACTGTGATATTTTTGCATTATATTAGATATTAAGAATATATGAACTAGAGCTCGAAAATTGTATTAGAGAGTCATCAATCATAATGTTCTGAGTTCGAATCTGCTATTATCTCTCTTTAACATTATTTATCCCATAGAATTGGAGCAAATTTCCATTCCGTAAATGCGGCCGAAAAAAAGTTTGGGAACCACTGCCTTAGAGCAATGATATGGAGATTCAAGAAGCTTTATACATATTCTCTATAGTTTCTTCTAAGAACTTTCAAGAGATAGGTCGTTTGATGCTTTTATAACTTCAGTGAAAGCAATATTCGTGCACATTGAATTCCAAGGTCTTTTTTCATAATTTACGCTAAGGCTGTGATTTGCTCAATTGTTCTTCTTCCAGGTTTCATCATTATCATTACAGAAGCCCTCTTCATAAGTTTATATGCTGGAAGTTAAATGCTTTTTTTTTTCAAAGATATATCCTTACTGATGAGCAATTTAAAAGTTTAAGTACATTTTGCCTTTCCTCTCCTCCTGTTGTTTCCGACATTTTGCTAAAATATCGAGTAAAATAGTATTTATTTAATTTGCTTGCAATAAACGAGGAAACCGAAATGAAACCAATGCATGATTGTGAATAAGTCTATATATATACTAGATAAATAAATGACTTAAGAAAAGGAAAAAATCGCTTAGTACTTCATATTTTATTAATTAGATTTCAGCTTTTTCATTCAAGCGTAAGTCTGTTTTAATCTTAGAATAAACGTCGCCTATCTCTACAAGGACATACGCAAGCACAAATTGCTTGCTCATCGCCTAGTTAATTACTAGGCTATTCTTTTCCAAATACTGACGCAATAAATGAGGTGCACATTATTTTCGAGCTAATATGTACAGTATCAGAGCGTCTTCAATCAGTTTTGTAGAAACAAATATTTTGTAATTAAAGCATTTTATACACACGTTCGGGATTCTATCTGACTACTGAATATTTTAGTTTTAAAACTTACATTAATCAAACGTATATTTAAATAAAATAAGTTTACGATCTTATTCTAATTGGGTCTGCAGTTTAATTTATGCCAAAATTATGTCACTCCATTATCAGTTAGAACTGAATCTGAATAGAGTGAAATTTACGACGTACATGAATAATTGGATTGATTGTTTGAACGCCACCTGTTTTAATTAGGATATGATCTCCTTCGCAGTTGTCGGGCATCAACTTCTTACAAGATCCGGGGGAAAGATTAGTCTGGTTGAAGATTTCTACTGAGTAGCGATTTCGATCAATCATGTTCCGTACGAATTCCTCACTAAATCATTTCAATACTCTGTCAATATTAATAATAGTTTATGTTCGAATCAGCTACTAGTTCGAACAATCATAACTTGGATCTGCCGTGCCCTGTTCAAACTGGCAAACCAGCCCTGTTCTCTTCCTGTTTCTTTGATTAAAAGCAAGTCCCCCCTCGGCGAGGGGAAGTTGCTTGGAACTGTTTCTTCTTCCACGGAACTGTTAATTCGTGGAACACACTCCTGACAGAATGCTTCCATTACAGCTATAATCTTGATCTCTTTAAATCAAGCCTCAACCGATATCTATCCTACACGTCTTCCTCATACCATTTTACTTCCTCTTTACTTACACTCTCAATCAGTGACCCACTACCTTGAGTAAAACTTGGGTCTTGTATTTAGAGAACTACCAGAAAAACTACCCTACAAGAATTTCAATATTGAAAAACTGTTGTGTATGATACACCTAATTTACATAAGCGGACTACCGACCATATAAATATGGGTTGGTACCGGAAGACGGGGAAGATAGTAGAGATTAAGAAATTGAATCCAGAGACTCTGCCCGACTGAGATTTAGTCAACCCATTATGCAGGAACAGTCTTCCCAAGAATATACCAAACTAACTGTAAATATTGTGTACCTATTCTTTGTTTCAATACATTTTGTTAACGTACATTTTGTGTTGTATTATTCCATGCTTATTTAAGCTTCAACAAAAACAAATAACCTAACAAGTTTCTTGCGTTACCTGTCGACGCGGGTATTTTTCAGGGTTTTTTTCTATTATTGTGATTAATTTGTTTTTTTATGTCCTATCAACCTTTTTCAGGTTATTTAATGTCAGATAAAACTTTAGTTTGCAAGAATTTTTGGAGATAATAATGATACGCTTATACAAGTAACCCATAGCTGAGGGAGAAGTGGTCGATTCATTACTTTTACAACGGTATTTGTGCGTAAGTGAATTTCACGAACCCGTTTGAAATTAGACTCTTCGATTTTCAGCACCATTATAGCACTCGCACATCCAAGCTCACATCACCGGGTATTCCCAAGCGGTTAATCATCTAGGAACTGACTAGATTCGACGTTGCTTAACGTCGGTGATCATACGAGAACAGGCGTTTCAACGTAATATGGCCGCAAGCCATATATTTGTTGAGTTCTGTCCGTAATACAAGTATTTCTAGAATAGCCTTACTTTTTCCCTTTTAAAACCTAGAGCAGTTGCAAAATCACTGATAGATAATCTTATATTTTTATGCCCAACTAACCGTTGCGAAGTTGTGTTAAAAACCACCGTCATCATATATATATATATATATATATATATATATATATATATATATCATTGTTATACCGCAACTTTACTTTTACGTCATGGATACGACATCAGGTTGGGAGCTATGATGGTGAGTTTTCCAACGTAAAGCTTTCTCATGTTTTCCGCTAGATAAAAAAAATCCAAAGACAGTTGGCTAAAAGAAAGTAACACTTTTTTGACTTTCTTAGATTGTTCCATATCTACATGGAACAAGTTAAAAATATCAACAGCCTATAAAATATTTTTCTTCTTTTTATAAAAAAAAACATGGCTGCAGAACTTTTTTTTTAGCGAAACTAGCTTTAGATTTCATAAATACCAATATTCTGATTTTCATCTTTGACATTTCCTCTTCGAAGTATATTTTTTACTTGTACTTTACATCGAATTTCACAGGATTTGCCTCAGTCTTTACTGTTTATATCTAAAGCAAACGTTCTAAAAGTGGCTCTCACTAGAAAGATGATAATGAATATGTCATTATGCCCATATGCTTAGTTTATGAACGCTTGAATAAAACATCATCTGAATATTAAGTAAATTAATTGAGAAGAATTAGGATTTCTATCTGGATGTCTGTAATGAGACTTTCTCTTTATTGATAATATTTTTCAGTAGACTAATATCCTCATCTTCTTTATTATTATCACAATGTTTTCGTCGTTGTCTATTTTTTTATCTGTCTGTAAATCTGGGTAAAGTTTGAGTTATTTTGAAGTGAGCCCTTTTCTTCAGCTACCGGGTACATTGGTTTCGGTCCTTTGTCCACGTCTAGGATTATCTCCTCTTATTTTTTATTTTAATATGTGGGCATTTTAATAGTAATGTGTGCAGAAATAAGAATAGGTATTTCGAGTTCAAATTCTAAGTCAGTCTGTTTTATTTACAATACATGCCATAGGAAAAGCCATTAATCCATCGTCCTCTTAAATAGCAGTACATCTAATCTAGGAGAAAGAAAGTACTCAATATAAACCCTGGTAAATAATAGGGAAGACTGAGCTCTTTAGCTTTAGTTGGGTACCTGATCTTTGAAATGGAGAAAAATGAATTCAAAACCAACTAGTAAAGGGATAGACACACCTAGACTATATTGCCCTAAACACAACTACAGTAGGTATATATGATGACCGTAAGAGAGTCACCAGTTACGGGATTGCGTTGTGATCGTGAGTGAATTATACTTTTCTTCCAAAGTATAAAGAATAGAAAGATAATGTATATTGTTTTGAAAATATGGAGAGAAATGTATCTTGCGTTATATTATTCATATTACTACAACACCTAAACCACAGATATTGTTCTTTACTCTTACTAAACAAGTTTCTTACAAGATAATAGAGACTTGTTAGTAGTCTTAGACTAAACCTTCTTATCATAACAGAAAAATAATTTATTTTCATTTCGAAAAGGAATTTTTTTACATTTCGTAAAACCTTATGGTAATGTGTATTTTGTATTAATACAAACTGACTACATTAGCTATGGAAGAACAAAAAATCCGTTATCTTTAATCATAACTTTTTATTACATCAGCAATGAAAGGATATGAAAATGTGTATTTCACAAGAAAAAAAAGACTCATTAAATTTTCTATAGAAAAAGAAAACAAATCGAGATTCTTCATCATAACTGTTTTACACTGGCAGTGTTTAAAAGTTCATCTGTTGAAATTTGATATATTTTCCAAAGATATAAGCTTACTTATAAATAAGTAAACATTTTCAAACCTTTGCTGTTTTGTCTATCAACCTTTCGACATTTTTCATAAAAATCCAAGATAAATTGTCGTGGATTATTGTACGTGCGTTTCATGAAGAAACATAACGAAGGCATTGTAAGATCATGACTATATTGACTACATAAATTTCTTAAATGACTCTAATACAAATTAGTAAAGGAATTCGCCCTTTACTTAGACAGGTTTCAGAGTTTAATAAAGCGCAGTGATGTTAAACCAAATATTCAATAAATTCTCTGTCTACGCGGGCAAACACAAACGCAAATGACATGTTAGTCGTCTTAATTGAATTACTAACCTCTTCTCGTTATTTTACTTAGTCAAACAAGTGCTTATGTTCAATTTTATATGACCAACATCAGAACAGCACCAAATAAGATTTGTAGATGCATATTTCTAAGGAAAACATTTTATCCACAATCTTGAGATGGTCTCTGTATAAGTTTGAAAACTGACTGAAAGCAAAAGGATATTCGAGCTTTATTTTAACTGGAATTGCATTTTATTTTATGTTAAAAGATGATTCATTGTTTTTACAATGCTTTCTCCCAGTAAATAAAGCATAGAGAACAATCAATTTAATAACCAAATTAAAATTCATTTTAATTTATAAGATTAAAATTCCTTTTAATTTTGCTATTAAAACTTCATTAGGCTCCTACGTTTCTTTAGTGACTGCGACTAGGAAGAATCTATTAAGTATTATGGCTGTTGAAATGTCTTTCTTCTGCAGATAGTTAATAATTATTCGGGATTTCCGAAACTAATCCTTCATTCAATCTACAGAGTTCTTCTCATATATATATATATATATAGATAGATAGATAGATAGGTGCAAGGAGATATTTCCGATCAGTTAATTCTTCTTTGTTATTTCGTTCTTGTGATGGCCTTTGACCTTTCCACTTAAGCAGAACATAACATTTTTGCACTACTGGACCGCTGTATAACAAGATCCGATTATGAAATAGTTTTTACTCAGGATCGAACTGATAGCACAGTAAATATTTTTTTTATTATTTCCATTACTTACATTTGGACCGCTGTACACTCCGGTCTTCATCAGATATATGTCGATTCTGGCAACCATCAGACAACGTTGAATTAAAATAGGATCGATAAACATCTGATGAAGGACGGGGGCACCATTGCTGAAACGTTGTTCTAATAACGACAAAGAGGACAACAGTCCGAGTATAAATAATGTAAATAAGGATAGCATTTTATCATAGAAGTTCATATTGAAATGTGTTCGTTAATCCGTAAGCGAAATTAATCATAGTAAATCACTTCTAGTGTTGATCGTATCCCAGCAATTAAGGCGTAATCTTCATCTGTTTATTCACGATTGGTTTTGAATTAAAATAACCGGTAATGACATTATACAGGTCTAAACTGATTAGTTAATATTGATGAAATATCAGAGAAAAGATATTTCATAAAAAAAATCTTCCACTCGCATCCTGGAGAGGACAACAAATGAAATATGATAAATTTTATCTTTAAAACGAAACAGAAAAAAAACCCTTAATTGTTTAACGACGGGAAAATATTTATTGGTTTAATGACACTAATGAAGATCACGAAAGTTCAATTTGGCAATTTTATCTTTTCAGTCAACCGAAATAAAAAGCTAAGAAATATGTTTTTCTTGTCTTTTCATTGCAAGACATGCAGTATAAACGAACGCTTTTAGTAAATTCTTTCGATTAAAATTGAATTCTTCAATCCTTTCATTTGCCAAATACATTGTCCGCAGGCTAGTGAAATTGCCAGTGCGTCACTGAACGAAGAAATCGTGCTCCGAAGAATGATGCAAAAATGTCTTGCAGCTGCACACGTTAATTTACATAATTCTTGACACTTTGAAAGCTCTTAAGGACACAAATGAGCTACGAATTCACTTAAGTTACCGATGCTCTTGCCCGTAGGTTCCAACTAAATGTTGGGACACTCATCATGATTGTCATATTTTTCAATCCTCCCTTGATCTGTAGTGAAATTTACATAGCTCTAAGGTTTTCCTCATGTTATCGAGTTAGCTATCCTAAACGAAGAATGGAAAAATATGTGATGCTTTTGAATGAAGCAATCTCGATTACGAGTTAACATCCATTTATAAATGGATCATCAATAGGGAACAAAAACAACATTTCAAGAACGATGACTACAACCAACTTTCAATTTTCAGCTTTGTGTTAGTTGTTACAATGTCCGATATTCAAACATTTCATAAGTTTAAATCGCTTTTATATGTATCTTATTTTTCTTTTCGGATTAGACTATATTATTTTAAATTTTATTTATGAATAATGGAATAATTATTTTTAAAATGCATATTAAAATATTTAATTTTCAAAAATAGAATCTAAATAATATTACGGAGGAAATGTTGATAAATTGTAAACAGATATAAATAAAATCGTAAACTTAAAAACAATCGAACAATCATAAAACGTAAAAACAATCGAAGAATCATAAAAAGATAAAACTGTTTTTCCTGACCGAGAGACTAATCAATAAAGATTTAAAAAACAGATTGGTTTTATTTTCAATGATTCGTTTTTTACAGGTTGTCAACAGTTTGGAAGTTATTAAATAACTAATAGCCATATTAGACAGAAAAATATTCTTTTTTAGATTGTAAGTATTTTTTTTAGAAAATTATGATTTACTGATACAAGTCTTACTAACTAATTCATTGTTGGGGGAAAATATGTGGATTCATACCTTTCCCAAGAGCATGTAAGTGAATATAACGAACCCACCTGGAATTAGAACTCGGTTCTCCAATTAACAATTCCGTGACATTCATTACAGATTCCGTTCATGCAAGCTGACAACACCTGGTATTTCCAAGCCACATTGCTTTTAAAAATTGTTTTGACACTTTTATACCTTCAAGTGTCTCAAGGTAATACCAACACAATAAACGCAAGCGAAATATTGTATGACTTCAGTTAATCTTTCGGGAGAAGTTCAGATTTAAATTTAAATGTATTAAGCTGTAAAGAAAAACCTGTCGCATGTTTTACATGATCATTTTGAGGATCATTGTTGTAGCATACAAACGGGCGATAA